TTTTAAAAAAATAGGGGTCTCTCATGACGTTTTGAGTGTTGAGCACTCCGATGATGAGCACGAATGCGGATCCATTTCTGCAGCGTCTTCTTGAAATATCTCGAGGATACTGCTTGGCGGCGTGGTCTACAGTGCCCATCTCTCTCTCAGAGTTAAGCTCATCTTGGCTAAGCTGTCCGCATATCTATTGCTTTCTCTGTAAGTATGTTGAAATTTCAGAATCCAATCTTGCTGAATTACTTCTCGTATGTGCTTCGTTAAAGCGGGATCCCCTGCTATTTCTCTTTCACTATTTATCTGCTTGATTATGGCTTCTGCATCCGACTCGATTAAAATCTTTTTCAAACCCCAGATTCCAGCATAGTTTTAGTCCTTCTATGATTCCCCAGATCTCTGCTGCCGCTGCATCACTTGAGTCTAGCTTACATGTGAATCCTCCCAGCCATTCTCCTTCAGACCTTCTTACTACTCCCCCGCATCCTCCTGCTTCTCCCGCCCTGTTTCTCATTCCATCCGTGTTCACTTTACACCATCCAGCTTGGGGTGGGTACCATCTAACTAAAACTATTTCCCCAGTTGGGCTGCTTTCAAACCATTTTTCTTGCTTGTTCATGTAGTTCCTGCGGTACTGTTCAATCGCTTTCCTCATATTCCACGGTATTTTTGCATCTGGGTCATGGATCTGTGAATTTTGCACGGGATGTTATATTATTATTATTATTTTTTACACGGCTTTGGTTTAGCCAGCACATGATTAGAAATGGGTGGGGTGGGGTTGGGGAAAATAAATAAAGGGAGAAAAGGGAGAGAAATTTCTGGAACGAGGGGGGTTGCAAGACACCAAAAAAATTTACCGGCGACCTACCTACAAAGTCGCCATCCGTTACTCTGTCCTGGTCGCCTTCCTTTCACTCATCCTTCATCTCCCTTGATCGCTGCCTCTTCCTCTTTTCTGCATCATCAACTCGTCTCCTTCATTTTCTGTTTTGTATGTCATGGTGGTGGATGCTATCCGTGTGGTTTAAGCAAGGAATTGGGAATATGGTTTAATGGAAGATGGTGGTGGGGGTGTCCGATTGAAGTAGGTAAATATCCTTTGCATCTTTTGGTTTCTTTTTCAAATTATAATTTCTCTCTCCGTTGCAAGTTGGGTCTGGTTAAGGAATTGAGGCGGAAAATTTTGTGAGGTTGATGGTTAGTTGAGATTTGTGTGATTGATGATTTATGGACTATCGTGATTTTTATTTACTTTTGTACTGAATGTATGCACACCAGGTGTTTGACGAATTGTATGATGGATAGATATGATTTATTGTGAGGTATAACGTTGAAGAATGTGTTACTAAATTGAACCTGAGGCAAGTATTCTCTATAATAATAAAGCGTTTTGGTTGATAAAGGAATGTATGAATTGAATTGGTTTAAATTTAAGATTGTCCGAGGGTTATGAGTAGAATTGTGGATGGCACTTGAAGTGTTTGTTCAAGAGAAGAATTGGATTGGGAGGCTAGTAACATTTGCTAGAAAGCTAAGGCTTATGCTATAGAAGGGCAAAAGGAACTTAATTGAAGTTTAAGTTCATGAAGGGAATAGTGGGACACCCATATTTTTCAAATATTGTTTCATCAAAACAACTTCATTTCAATTGTACCATTATTCGTTTTTACTTGTTTGATATTGTAAATTTCTTTTTACAACTTGAAATGCTCTTGTTTGAGTTATTATTACTCGAAAAAAATGATTTTTGTTCATTGATGGAATTTGAGATTTTATGAACTTTTATGCTGGGGTCTTTTGTTAAATATTCTTTTTACATGTTTTCAATGATAGAAAAGATTCTTTTTTACTGATGATAAATTGGCTCCACGCATTCTTGAAAATGATTTTTGTGAGGACTGAGTACAGAACACTGGCTGCTAACAACGGTGCTATTAGCCCTTGGCGTGCTATGGTAATATCGAGCTCACTTGTTATTCGTGGTTTCAGCCGTGCTTGTTATTCATGGGCATTGTTCCCACATTTGTTATTGGGGGCTTCGACTACGCTTGTGATCATGAGTTCAATCTCACTTGTATTTGTAGCTTCGACTGTGCTTGTATTGGTGCGCCGTGGTTAATATTGAGCTTGCTTGGTACTCGTGAACATTGTTCTGAAGCTTGTTTCATAGCTTCAGTTACGCTTGTACTCGTAGCTTTAACTGCGCTTGTTGGTTATTTACCCTCGTGGATTGTGTGTCCATGCTTGTTGTTTCTTCGGTTGAAGTCCTCCATTAAAAAATGTTTTTTAACTCTACTCGTGATTTGATTTCAGAAAAACATTGTTAAAATGCCTTAGAAATTTTTGTATATTGAAAATATTTATATTTATATATATTTCATGTTATGGTAATTTTTTTAATTTAAAAGTAGCCGTAAATCAACCTTGTTGTATTATACAAGTTACTTATTTTAGTATTTGTTTTATCTTATTCTTATTAACGGATGCTATTCACTAGTAAAATTTATTTTGGCCTTAGATAGCACAGTTAACCTTGCGCCTTCAAACGAATGGTGAAAAAAGAGAGGGGGAAGAAAAAAAACTCATTGCTGATCAAAGCTTAGAACAACCACTAATTGAGGTAAAACTGAGTTACATTAATGTAATTATTTATTTATTTTTTAGAACCTCTACATAATCTATAAGCAGACCCTTGCCTTCATTTATTATTCTAAATATATGAATATATGAATATCCGTATTGTTGTGGGAGGGAGCTCCTTATTTTGTGTTGTACCTGTGAGTTATTTGCAGAATTCTACTAATGGCCGTATATTTTGATTACAAGAGATCTATTCTATATGAATGGTATTGTAATTATTATGGCAAGTGTTTATTCATATGTTCTAAGGCTTTAGGAATGTGAGTTCTCTCATATTTCGTACCGGTCACCCCTAAATTTTGGGGTGTGACACTTGGTGTATGAGGTAAGCCTAGATCATCATACATGTGGTGTTCTTTCATTTTGAGGGAAAAATATTTATTGAAAAAAATTCTGACTTTAGCATTTTTCTGTTTTATTTTGGATGAATGCAAGCTTAGCATCATCTGAAAGATCAAAGTGAGAAGCAGATATGGAGAAATTGGGAGATATCATGTGGGATATTACAAAGTATTTGTGTGGTTGCGCCAAACAAGAAGCTGGGCTTATTTGTAAGTTGGAAGGGAATCTGCAATCTCTAGAAAGTAAATGGAAAAAGCTTGAAGCTGTGAAGAAGGATGTGGAAGCACAAATTGAAGAAGTTGAGGGTATCAGAGAGGGGCAAAGGACATATGAAGTCAGTGGTTGGCTCCAAAGTATCCAAAACATTCAAAAGGTACGAACTCTTCATTTTACATTTTTTTCTTTATTTAGTATGTGGTGTTTTTTTATTTACTTTGATCGTTTCTGTTCATGAATTAGATAATTCCATGTTCAGCATCAATGATGTTGTTAATTAAGTAATCCCTTAGCTCAATAATTTATGATAATTTAATTTAAATGTCTTAGTTCAAACCAAGCTAGTTAAGAACATTTAAAATTTTTTGGATAAGTGTGAAACTCATATTATATTGAATTTATTTGAAATTTTATCACAGTATAAAAACAAAACTAGTTTCAGTACTCATCAGAGTGGTGAGCACCCCAAACTTATTATATGCTCATCATATCTGAACCATCCAGATCTGATTTGGATGATGCGGATTTTTTTTTAAATAATTATTTTAATGGGTATATAATGTAAAGTAAAGATGTATCTTTCTTAAGGACATAATTAAGTAAACAACATTACCTTATATTAGCATAATTAAAACTTAATTTGAAAGCATACGTATTGTGTACATAAAAATTGATTTATCCGTATCTATATCGCAAGCTGTCCAATTATTCAGTTAAAAGAAAAGTACGTAGAAATAAATATAATTAGAACACTATGTACACTTGATTATCTTTTGTATACTATTAAATACATAGCTAAGATAATACTTCAAATCGAGAACATGTATTTGTGAGCATAATGGTTTTATACGGTTCTTCATTCACTACTCATAATAGCAATGAGCACCATGTGCTCATTATTGTAATGTAATCTGGACCATACAAAATATCATGTAGATGATTCAGATTTAAAATTTTTAATATGCAAATTTTTTCAATAATAACTTTATTTTTTTAAAGAAGTTAGTTATAATATTATATTTAATTTAAATGTGTTAGTAGTAAATCAAAAGTGATCTAAACTTTTCCTTAGCTATGGAGGGAGGAAGCAGAGAGGGGAGGGGGAAACCCAATGTTAGTAGACTGTTAATTGAAAGGGGACACATTGCTCCACTTTTTTGCACTCTAAAATGTTTTCGGGTACTAAGTGTACCTTGTAAAATATTTTAGGATGTTGAATACACTTTGACCCTAATAAAAATACAATATTCTCTACCTTTACTATAATTTTGTTGAACAGAAAAATAATAAAATATTGTACTGATGTTTTGATCATTTTTGTTTTACAAAACATATTTTATATTTTTTGTTTTTCAAAAACTGTTTTCAAACATGCTTTTTTTTGTTTTTAAAATTATTATAAAAAAAAAGCTGTTTTGTCAAATGGAAACCAAACAAGCCCAGCCAAAATCTTTAACAATATCATTCAGCTTGTTCTGTCAAAAAATTGTCATTCATATTTGGCCAAAAAAATTCCATTCATTTATATCGAGATACATAATTTTTTATCTCGATATCAAAACTTAATATGAAAGTGTGCTTAATTAGTTTATGTAAAGATTCAGAAAACAGGAGAAAAGAAACATTAAACTTAATGATTTTGTATTCACAGGAAGTAGAAGATAATCTATATCAAGGAGTCCAAGAAATCCAAAACAACTGCCTAAGTAAGTGTTGTCCCAAGAATTGCAAGTCAAGCTACAAGTTGGGAAAGAATGTTGCCAAGATGCTCACTAAAGTAGATGATCTAACAGCCGAGGGACAAGGATTTGTTAAGGGTTATCCAATTACGCGCAAGCCATCGCGTAAAGGAATTGGTCAAATACCTCTTGAGGAGACTGTGGGGCAAGATTTGATATTTGATAAAGTATGGAGTAGAATTGAAGCAAATAATGTTGGTGTCATAGGTTTATATGGGACTGGAGGGGTGGAAAGACCACTTTATTGAAGAAAATTAGTAATGAACTTGGGAAGAGAAAGCCTGATTTTCTTGTGATTTGGGTGGTAGTATCCAAAGAGCGTAACTTGGATGCAATCATGGATACTATAAGAAAATCAATAGGAATTGGAGATGTTGCTTGGAGTTCTTGCAATAGTCGAGAAGAAAAATCTTCAAAGATTTTGCATGCGTTGGAGCGGAAAAAATTTGTTTTATTGCTGGATGATGTGTGGGAGAGATTGGACTTGAATTTGGTGGGGGTACCTCATCCAACAGATTCAAACTCTGAGTCCAAAGTGTTACTCACAACACGATTGAAGGATGTGTGCGCAAAAATGCAAGCTCCAGAACCACTCAAAGTGGACTTTTTGAATGAAAAAGAAGCATTAGAGTTATTTCATATCAAAGTTACAGAAGAAACTTTAAACTACGACCCTAGGATCAGAGACCTAGCAAAAGAAATGGCAGCAGAGTGTAAAGGGCTGCCTCTTGCGTTAATTGTGGTAGGAATTGCCATGGCTGGTGTGGAAGATGTTAACGTATGGGAGTGCTCAAAAAATAAGTTGACAAGTTCTCCATGGACCAATACAGATTTCGAGACAAAATTTTTTCCATCCTTAAGTTGAGCTATGATCAGTTGCCGGATGATACTCATAGAAATTGTTTCTTATATTGTGCATTATATCCAGAAGACTATGAGATTCGGGTCACTGATATCATTGATAAATGGATAGGGGAGGGGTTTATCTGTAGAGATATGACAAAAAGCATACAAGACATTCGTAATGATGGTCAATTTGTGATTGCAAAGTTGAAGCTTTGCTGCTTGTTGGAGAGTGTTGAAGATAATGTTGATTTAGGTCGTTCGTTTAAGATGCATGATATGATTCGAGAGATGGCATTGTGGTTATCTTGTGACCAAGATAAAAGAATTAAAAGGGTTCTTGTACAAGGAGATGCGATAACAACATCTCATGATGATGTTGAAAAATGGAAAATTGTTGAGAGGATTTCAATCATGAATAGGGGAGTACAGCATGTAGCACCTGTAACTTATCCTAATTTAGTAACATTATTGTTGAGGCATTGTGGTAAACAATATTTGCAAAACCTGAAATGCATGACCAAATTAAAGGTGTTAGAACTATGTTGTCCTGATATATGTGAACTTGAAGAAATTAGTGAGTTAGTTCTGTTAGAATATCTTTTTTTAACGATAAATGGATTTGACTATCCCAAGGAGTTGAAGGAGTTGAAGAATTTGAAGAATTTGAAGGTATTCAATTTGTCCTTGAGAGATGGTAATATTGTAAATATTCCATCGGGAGTGATATCAAGTCTTCGACAATTAAGAGTGTTGAGAGTTTATTACGACGGGGAACTTGAAAAAATGGTGAAGCAGAGGAAAAATTCATAGAGGAGGTGGAATCTTTGCCAAAAATTGAGGAAATAAATGTTGGAATAGAAACAGAAAAAGGCCTCAACAAGTTACTTCAGTCACGTAAATTGCAAAATTGTATATATGCTCTTCGCCTCGGTGGTTTGGACACCATAGAGATGCCTTTATTATTGGCATGCATTTCAAAAATGAAGCACCTCCAACAATTGGGTCTGCTTGGATTATCTGGTTTGAAAGATTATTCTGGTATTTATGATGACACTTATTGTCTAAGGATGCTTCAAAGCGTGCTTATCTCTAGTTGCCATTCCTTAATGCATGTCACATGGCTCAAGCATGCTCCACATCTTCAACAACTTGTCATTGGTGACTGTGCATCAGTGGAAGAAGTGATAAAGGAAGATGAGAATGAGGATTCTTCTTGTGTATTCTCTTCTCTTGTAAACCTACATCTGTATGGAATGCCAAAGCTTCAGAGCATCCATAAGACCGCTTTGTCTTTTCCTTCCCTAAAAACCATCAATATAGGAAGATGTACAAATCTGAAAAGGCTACCACTTCATTCCGACTCTGCCAAACAACTAATTATCCGCGGACACGAAGATTGGTGGAACAGTTTGGAATGGGACGCCAAACACAATTTCCAATCAAAATTTCAGCCCTTCACGTCAGATGACGTCAACATAAATTTTCAAGGTAAATACATTAGTAACATCAACGCACACATTATCCTTTACTGTTCTTTTAATTTTCATGGCGTAATATAATTTTACGCTTTATGGATATAAAAAATAAGCATATTGTTTTTGACATGTATCAAAATGTTGGCCCAGCTCTATCCTTTATTTATTGAATGCTAAAAGGTAGCCATTGCATCGTGTGATTATGTATGCGTGCAAATGTTTGGTTGTGATTCCTTCATTTCTTTTCTCTTCATGAAATTATTAATTGTTTCTTCAGTTAATTGGCTTTTTATAATTTGCAGATTGGTTTACTGCTGGGGGATTGGATTTCCTCATTGGTTCTTACGACTTCCTTGATAATGATATCACTGAAGGTTGATTAGCTTCTTTTTAAAATAAATTAAAGGACCACCAAACATGGTGTGTGTGTATTATTATTGATGTTTTTCTTATTTTGCTTTCCTGTTTGTGTAAACTTTTTGATTCCCATTACACCCTTCTGTACGTACAGAGCAATGGTCATTGGTCAATAATCTATTTTGCGTTTTTCCTTTCTTGGTGGTTATAATAAGACTCTAAATATTGATCAACAATTCACTGAAATTATTCGCATCTTGAAAACATCTCTTTTGTGAAAATTAAAAGCAAAATTATTCAACCTTAGATCTTACTCATTAATTCAATAAATTAATATTTTTGACCAATCTAACAGTGAAAGAATCTAAGCTACGTGGTTTGGGAATTTAAGAACTCGTATTCATATTTTAACGTAAAATTATATGTTAAGTAATAATTATTTATATAAATAATATGTAATAACGAGGAAACGAAATATTTATTTTTCAATCAAAATATCTTTCGTAAAATTAATTTTAATATTCGTTTAACAACTAAATATTAGCATTAATAAAATTAATTCTTTTAATTATGATAGGGCTAGATGTTTCAAGAACTCATTGTAAACAGTTAATTATGTAGTTTTTTTCAAACTTGAGTCGGATAATTTGGAACAAAGAAAAGACTTGAGTCGGATAATGATCATTACAAACCATAACTAGTTGCAAGTTGCAACTATTTGTAATTATCTGGAAATTTAACAAAGAAAAATTATTTAAATTAATACATAACTGATTACAATATTTCTATTACTAAGTGCTAATTAAAAAATTATGATGTATGACCAATTCATTTGTGTGAGGATCAAGAGACCAAAGCAACTCAAAAGCGAAGGTAAGAACTGAACTCTGACCACCTTTCATTTTTCAGGACAAGTTAATTTCAAATCCTGTAAAGGTGCGCCAAACGAACCATGAATATATGTTACTTTTTATATTCTTTTTATTAGTTACAGATAATTGAATTATTATTTTAACTAAAAAGTAAGTTAAAATTAGTTAAAGGTAATAAATATGTAAGAAATATATTTTTTTTTAATAATATACCCTTATTTATAGAAAGGATGAGTGGGACAAGGAGATTAGAAAGGCATATAATTTAATTAATTGGGATGTAAATGAAAAAAAAATGTATACAAAAAAAATTAATTTATAAAAAAAATTTTAAAATGCTCCAGCTTGTAATTTTTTAGGTGTGATCATCATTTAGGAATTATGAATACCAGCAAGCTTGGCATTTATGCACGTATAATAGTAAAGGCGAACTTCCTAATACAAAACCAAAACCAAAACCAAGTATTAATTCATAATTAATTACTTAAAACACTAGGAAATTAATGAAGCATAATAATAGCGAACAAATCAACAATCCAACTAGATTTCAAACAAGTAAAAAATATGCAGTGAAATATGTTCAAAGGCCTAGCAAGCCCAAATTAAAGGAGCTCCTAAACTCAAAAGAAGACCATTGCATTCCAAGCCTTAGTATCTGTTCCACAATATATGAGTATTAGCAAATACCAAAACTAAAACATATCCTAAAACAAATCCAAAACCAAACCAAAACATATCAATTGATGAGGAGTTTTATTATAGGATTCCTTTCTGTATTATTATAGCATTATATTAATGTGTTTGAACGACTTTTAGAACAGATTGAGGGCTTATTTATGTGTGTGTTTTCTGTTGGTTCTGAATCTGAAGTAAGATGCATCATTCATTTAATTTCTTATGAATAGTACAGATTTCAATAGATTTTGGATGATATTTTCATATTGATGATTCATTTCTGTTTATTAATGAGTTTCTCGATCTTCATCCTATTGCCTTATTTCTTCTTCTTTTAGTTTAGGCTGCCAGTATTATCCGGCCATTATTTTATTTTCCAATTAATTACCATCCTTCTGCTTTCAGTTCCGTGTAGTTATAATTGCTTAAGGTCAATAGTCTTTTGTTCTATCTAAAACTGTTTCAACTTGCAAGTCTCTTTCTTGGTGATATTGTAGTTCTATGGTGTAATGTATGTATATTGTTGTCCAATTTCTTTTCCTGCTTTATTCTACCAAGCACGGTGGTGTGGTTCTATTTATTTATTAATAGATGTGCTTCTAACCAAAGAACAAAAGATTGGACTGGACACTAAACTGGTCAAGGTTGAAAGGTCAGTGCGTCAAACCAAGGTCAATACGAGATCAAACCAATCATATTAAAATAATATAATTTAATTAAAAATAACAAAATACAATAATATTAATAATCACTAATAACAAAATACAAGGAAGTGCAATAATAGTTTGATTGTAATAATAATAAAGTATAACAATATTGAGAATGTTCATCCTTACCATTCCTCAATAACTAAAATTAATAATCATTGATACCAAAATTATTATTAAGGTTCACTCAAATCTATAGTAATTGAAATATTAGAAGTTAAATTAGGAACAATGGAACACATCATAACATAATCATTCAACCCGATTGATCGCCGATTTACCCTAGTTTCTACCGATTTACTCCATGACCAATTTAGTGCTTAAACCAGATCAGACGACAAGTGGCAAGTTTGGTCTAATTTTTTTCCCTTTATTTTTTCCTTTTAGAGTTAGTGCTTGTATATATTGGTCCCCATGTCTGATTTATAGAATTTTTAGCTTGCACAATACTCAAAATTAATGTTTTTCTTGCCTTATTTGTTTTCATCTTGGGATGCCTAATCACTGATTTCTTGACTCTTGCTTTTATATCTGAATATTTACAGCAAGGAATTTAGTGCTAATAACACGAATCATAACGAGTGGAAGCCACCACAGCGAACTGGTGAGACCTTGTACTCGTGTGCTTGAATATTGTTTACAATAATTAATATTGTCAATGTTTTGTAATTGTGCTGGTTGACTAACTAATTGAGCTATATGATTTTTAATTAAAGCTAGTTAATTTTCTTGATATTTTTTCTTCTTTATTTTATTTCCCCTTTGACTGAGTGGACTTTAATTTACAATAGTTATTTTAGTTTTAATAACTGTAGTGAGGGACTCGATGATATCGTATGTAAATGTATATTGTAGATTTTTGAAAAGAAAAATTTAAAAAGTTACAAATATTTGATTTGCACAATTATAAACTGATGAATTTTAACTGCAGACAGGGCATTTAAGTTTGAAATGCAACTTTTAATTTACAATTGGGAATCCTATTTGCAAATGTCTCAATATTTTTCCAAAATTTTTTTTAAGATCCAATTATCATTAATTTATTCTTTTAAGATTTAAATGTCATTATATTCTTTCAAAAATAATATATTGTGATTCTCGTCTCTTAAATCGAGTCAAATGATTATCAGTCCATGACCAATAATAGAGTGGAGCTATTTTTAATTTAATTATTTATCTAATATTTAGTAGTGAAAAGCTTAGACGCATATTACATATGTGTATGTATGTAACAATTAACAATACAAGATCTGATCCAGTAGCAAAACTTCAAATTAAGAGTCAAACTCTAATCAAACCTTGAAGCCATAGAAAACATAATTTTCATATTTCAAAACAAAAAAATTCATTGCTTCATTGGCAACTCGAGAATGGCGATCTTTTGTATGATGATTCCTAACTTGTTCATGCATGTGAGAATAAACGAAAGCAAAAGAAAGAAATCATAGCATTCTAAAGAATAAATCAATGTCCATCTTATCAAAGAAAAATAAAGATCAAGTAAGACATCAGATGCTTCAATTTACTTTTCAAATCCCACCAATTTGTATCATCGACTGTCTCATGCAAACTCATAAAATATTGCAATGTCTTGGTGTACGAAGTAAGCCCAAACTATCATACATGTGCTGTTCTTTCATTTTGAAAGAAAAACACACACGAAGAAATGACAAAAATTTATGAAAAAGCTCTAACTTTGGTATTTTGCTGTTTTGATTTTGGAT